GCTATGCAGATTCATGAAGGGGTTTGGCTTGGTTTTTGGGGCCCATTATGATCTAGCATTGGACATCACTGAGTGTATAGCAGTTCTAAATATAATGTACCTTGATGTTATGGGAAGGGATCCATTCGGTGTCCTCTTCTTCCTTCTTCTCTGTGTCACCTGTTCCAACTGCTGTGATCTAGATATTGTTGGAAACGGGGAAAGAGAGGAAGAGACAGAGAGGGAGAAAGCAAAAGGAATGAGCAAAGTTCAACAGCAGCTCTACAGTTCGCTGAGAGAAAGTCTTACTCCTCTTTCTCATTCAGCCAACTTCATTCTTTCCTTCTGTCCTTTATTTATTTGTTCCTTTTTTTCATGTTCTCCCTTATCCCCTTTGCTGCACTCACACTTCCTCTATCCCCTCCTTCACCTCCCTTCTCTCTATCTCTGTGAATAGAACATCAAAAGCCTGTGAGTTAGATGGGGAGTGACAGTGTTTGCTATTGGTATGCAGGCAGACATGTCTGCTCCAAAGTGTTAGTCTAAAGGCCTCGGCTAAGTGTTTGTCAAGACTTAAAGCCATTGTTCTCGTCTCCTCTCCTCTCAGATCTCAAACTGCTCCCTTTCTCTCTCTCTATCTCCCTCTCGCTCCACTTTTGTACTTTGATGGAGCATTTTACTGCTGTGAGTGTATGTGAGTATGTGGGGAAACCGTTTTGAGGCAATGTGTGTGTGAGAGGTTGGGCATTGAGAATGTGTTCACTTTAATGGTTATGTTTCTTTGTGCCGGCATTTTAATATTAAGCTAAATCCATCCACTTGTTGCAATTGGGGAATATTGGCTCCCACAGAATAACAGTATTTCTATGTCAAAGTGATGTTATTGTGTTACACAAAGCTTCACAGATTATCAAGATTATTTTATGTGGTTGCAGAGTGGTTGACTGAATAAAAATGGCTCAGTGTACTTGGTTTTGTGATCATGTTATCCACTAAACAGTGTAAAACATGTGTCACAACTATTAAATGTATCTTGCTGTCGTCAACATTAATTATTATGACAATACAATCATCAAAGCAAAATTGTTCCTATTGACACACCCATATTACCCCAGACTCTACATTTGAACACATCATGCACTACTCTCCAGTATTTTGTGATTTCTGAGCTACAACATAGAGGAAAGTGTAGAAAAAAATGCAATCCAGAGTTTCAGCAACTTGTTTTAAATTGTGAAGTGGTCCGACAAAGATTAATGTAAAGCATTTATGGTATGTAGAGCCCTAAACCACTAAATTCACATTTCACTGTGAAAAATAAGTTCAAAACTTTTTGTTTTGTTTTACTTAGCCAAAAATATTTTGTTTACAATGGGGCTCCCATAATGCCCTTTTCCTTCCAATTAAAAGGGTTTGAGTTTGGAAAAATGTATATTAATCGATCATCTGATGTGAATGAATAATTAATGGTTTTAATGGTCTGTTAATCCAGCAATTTGGAAAGCTGTACTTACAGTTTATGTGTAATATCAAGCACACCAGCATTGTGTTTGTCCATATATAAAACCAGCTGTTTGCTTGGTCCTTTTTATAATTAGCTAAATCAATGACAAGCTGAACAATCTAAAATGCAGTCGGTTGATTCATATAGTAGAAGGCATTTGTTCAATATAACATAACAACTGTAATGCAATTGATCTAAGTAAATATTGAAGGTGTTGCTCCCTTTCGTTTTCTGTCTACCATCTTTCTCTCCCCATCCCTCGACATCCTGCCGTCTCTCTTGACTCTCACCCTCTGCTTTGTTTTCAACTATCCCATCTTCCCTTGCATGCTTCCCTCTGTCTCTCACTGCTAAACTCGAAGCATTTGTGAGTGTGCATGTGTATGAACACAACATTCCTGCCAGGGTTAGACTCAAGGCCTGGAAAACAGAAAGCAGCTCTTTCTTTGAAGTCCGACCCAACGTTCTATAGGGTGGAACTGTTAATCACTGATAACCCTGCAGCATCTCATCTCTCCCTCTCTCTCCCTGTGCCCCTTCCTTTGTCGCCCTGATCTCTCTTTCTGTTTCTTCACCTCATACCTCTCTCCCTTTCTTATTGTCTCACTGCTATTTCTCCCCCTCTCTCACCATCGAGTCAGTATTCACAAGAGAATTACCATCTTATAGTGGTGTTTGGCTGATCACCACTTTTGTGTGTGTGTGTGTGTGTGTGTGTGTGTGTGTGTGTGTGTGTGTGTGTGTGTGTGTGTGTGTGTGTGTGTGTGTGTGTGTGTGTGTGTGTGTGTGTGTGTGTTGGTAGGTACTGTCAGTGGTGTGGCAGTGAGCCTACTGGTGCCAGTAAAGCACATTATGAGTTGATTTTGGCGAAGGAGGCTGGTAATTCCTTTAAACCAACAAAGCCGTTCCATTAGCCCCCCGCTGGTATCCTGAAAACACACACTGTAACACTCCCAAAGCACAAGAGAAAGCATGGCTAAACCGTACACTCGTACACAGTAGCATCCCAAACAATGTCAACATGCAAGTAAGCACACTTGAACAACTTGAAACCTATACTCTAAGTGCATTACTAAACACATACTTGGAAACCACATTCATTCAGGTCATTACAGACACACTCACCACTGGAATATCTGAATGCTTATGTGTGCACACATCATCCTCCAAGACTCAATTGCTTAAAGGGGACCTATCATGCAAATGCACTTTTTGATGTATTTTATACATAAATATGTGTCCCCGGTGTGTCAGAAAATAAAACCCTGTCTCTTTTCCTCCGTGCACAAATCTAAAAATGGGGGTACAACGGAGCTGATCAAGATTTGCCATCCTATCAGAAACGTCGCTATCAGAATCAAGGCCCGACGTATTTTGGACGTAATATGGTCTTTATTTACATTAGCAAGCATCGCTAACAGTCAGAGCTAACCTGTACTGGAGAGAGCATGTGTAAGAAGCAGGATATAAAAAGGAACTCACCTTGTGATAAACCCGCAAGAGAAAAAGCATTTGAGCTCCATACTGTTTCAGAAATAATCCTTGACGTGGTTTTGAACATGATATGGCGTTTCATCAACGCAGCATTTTAGACAGTATCTGCGGGGTCCGCATGAGCAGGCATAAGCTCCGCCCCCTCTTTTTAATTTTTTGTTCAATTTTTTGTAAAGCTTTATAACCCGAAACAGCACTTTAGTAACAGGGCTGAAACGGAGGGATATGAGGCATGGCTATAACGGGTGATCTGATTTGGTATTTTGAGCAAAACACTTCATACACATGTTTTTTATATTTTTTTATATATCTGAGACCTATGCTATTGCCTAGAAATAGCATGATAGGTGACCTGTTTTACATCTAAAATTTGGAAATCATAAAATTATTCTGACTGTGGAATCAGAAGAAACCGCATCATCACTTGGTTTTGTGTATATTCCTCTATAGTTTGAGTATCCTTTGGCTAAATGTAGGTAGCTGAAATCACCCCGTTTTTTGGGTTGAAATCAAACTAATTTTAACGTTTCCTATCGTAACATATCGCTTGTTCTACAGTATCTTTAGAGATTAACATTTAGGTTTATTTTGACCCAGTGATACATATGGAGAGAAGCGAAAACAATGTGAAACAGACAGGGTAGCAGACTAACTGACAGACAGACAGCGTACAGCGTGGCAGCTAGGGTAGGAATTTCACGGCGGCCATGGTCGTCGTTCCCCCTGGGTCTGGCCGTTATGCCCCACAAATAATTGTACGTCCTACCTACGACCACCATGGCCTTTGTGCCGCTCACACTGTTAAAATCTCGAAGTTGCTTTAAAAGCGTCAGCGCAGTGGTCTGGTTTCTGAACTGCATTATGCTGCATTCACAACGGACGCGATGCGAATATTCGCATTGCTCTAATCGAGTTTCACGGCGGCTGTCAGCTGTGTTTACTCCTGTCATTCAAACAGGACTCGCTGGAGAGAGGGTGGGGCTTATATCCATGTAAATACGGTGGTAGAAACAAAATAACAAAATAACACATTTTACCTTGATTTAATTGTAATACACGTTTCAAAATGATGCCGAAGCAACTAAATACTGATAAGTGATAACGGTTAGTAAAAACCAGGAATTAATGCTTTGACAAGTGTGTAGACAAAACGGCAGGCGAAAAACCTTTTAAAATGCGTGTTTTCTAAATGGAGATCGGATCGATCAGGATAAACTAACCTGTAGCTGCTCTGTCCAAACCCACAACAACGTCCTAAAGACAGAAATAAAGCAGCGACTGTATTCGCCACGAAACAGACAGTCTGTGGTTTATACTTGTTTAACTTTTATCCAGTTTCTGAACAGATATGAGGAGCTGTGAGCTCTGTGTACAGCTAACGGCTGATGTTTTGGTTTTCTGATTCAACGTCAGTGGCTGAGATCTTTACTGCTGATTGGCTACCGTGAGAACGCGTCACGCGAATTTGGCGCTCGAGTTGAAAAAATTGATTAAAGAGACCTCATACACACACACACACACACACACACACACACACACACACACACACACACTTTTGCATTTCAAAGTATTGCTTGTTCATACAGTTGAATGTTAGAGCTTCACTGTGCACTGCTGAATGATGTATGTGCAGAGTTTGATCCTTGAAGGCTGTTTCTTCTGCTCTGAAATTGAATATATTTGTTACATATTAATAGAATGTTAGATTTGTTGATTTGATTTCGGATTTATGAATGGGAGAAGTAGTAGATGGAAAACATACCAAACACTTCATTATTAAAAGTAGAGTATTTAATTTTTATATACGGTAATACTAAGAAGCCATAGGCCCATATGTTTATAATGTTTGACATTATTGATATTAAAAAAGTGATTTGTTTTCCATGTCATTCGTGTGTTTTTTCTTAACAGAAAGTGAAGTTATTTATTTGTAAACTCCAAATCCACATTCTTCCCTCAATGGCCTTTGTGCCCTGGCATGTGATCTTTGTGCCCTAAAAAATGGTGTGACACCAAAGGCCAAATGGCCTCCCAGCTGGGGGGGCTGTGGCAAAGTGGTTAGTGCATTAGTGGTGTTCGGATCAGGAAAGCACAGGTTCAAACCCCACTGCAGTCAGCATGTCGTTGTGTCCCTGGGCAAGACACTTCACCCCAAATTGCTCCTGTGGGGATTGCCCACAGTATTGAGTAAGTAAGTCGCTTTGGATAAAAGCGTATGTAATGTAATGTAATAATGTCATGTAATGGAACGTTCTCACAACGTTAAGTACAGGTTCTAATAATGTTTTAAAGAAACGTTTTAATCCGATGTTCAAAGTACCTTTTTAGGATGTTTATTATTTCAAATAATGTTCCTATAAGGTTTAAGGTTAACAAAGAGATAACGTTTTGCCTGCAACATTCTGGGGATGTTTTTTGGCCGTTGTTGAGGTAACATATTATAGATGTTCTTTTATAAAACGTTCCCTCAATGTTACATGATAACAAAAGAAGAACATTTTCAAAGCAACATTTGGATAATGTTTTCAGGAGGTTATTATTTTTTTTAAGAAGCACGTAATTCATGACAAGTTGTAAGCCAGAGATGGAGTACTCGAATCCTGGACTCGTACTCGAGTTGGACTCGAGTGCCGATTTTCGGGACGCATGACTCGACTCGGACTCGTGCACATTTCAACACATATATCCACGAACAGTGGCGGCTGGTGGAAAATATTTTTGGTGGGGCTGTTGATATAGAGGTGATGTAATGGCCCCATAACATCGTGGTTCTAGGGCCAGGAACAACCAGGCTGAGTCGGGCTGAGTATGCTAAACTAGAGAGAGAATCGCTAAAGATACTGATACCGGATAGTAAAAACCATGAATTAATGCTTTGACATGTCTGCAGACAGACGGCAGGCAAAAAACCTTTTAAAATGCGAGTTTATCGCATGAACAACAGTATGCACACACGCACACACACTTTATTGTATTGTATGAGAGAGGTTCCAGGTT